TGTACTAGATATCCAACTCGCTTGTACTGGATATTCATCCATTTGGTTTATATGTTTATCCAACTTGTTTTATAGATGTAATCCAACGGGTTTGTATGCATATCCAACTTGTTTGTGCTGGATATCCAACTCGCTTGTACTGGATATCCAACTTATTTGTACTGGATATCCATCCATTTGGTTTGTATGCATATCCAATATGATTGGATAAAACAAAATAGGTAATTAGTCCAAACCGGTTAGATAATCACTCTGAACACAACGGATAATCATTTTTCAGTTTATTCATTTCTGCCCGTAAGATTTAAATGTATTTAAAGTTCAAAAGAAATATTCAACATTGATCTTATCGAATAGATCTCGTCGAGTACTATAAATTTTATATATAATTCGTGTTATAATTCTTTACGGATCAAAAGATATAAGGAACACAACAATATGAATGTAAAATAAGTTGGTTATCTATCTTCTTAAACTGGATATCCAATGTGTTCATATTGATTATTCAACTTCTTTGTGATGGTTATCAAGTATTTTTTTTTCTTGCTCTTTTATGCAAATGATTGTCCAACTTTTTTGTACTGAATATCTAACGTGTTGTACTGATTATCCAATTATTTTCTATTGATTATCCAAATTGTTTGCAATACTTATCCAATCATTTTTTCTTTCTTTCTTTTTTTTTGAAGAGTGAATGTCAAAAATATGATTGGATAACAAGTACAAACAGAATGGATAATCAGTCCAAACCGGTTGGATAATCAGTAGGAACACAACGGATAACCATTTTTCAAAGAAAAACGAAAAACACATTTCTTCATTTCTGCCAGTAAAATTAAAATGCATTTAGAGTTCAAAAAAAATATTCAACATAGATCTTATCGAATAGATTTCGTCGAGCACTATAAATTTCATGTATAATTCGTATTTAATTCTTTACGAATCAAGAGATATATGTAATACAAGAATCTTAATCTAAACTAAACTGGTTATCCATCTTCTAGACTAGATATCCATCTTATTCTGCCCATCGAAATTTAGTCATTTTTAAACTCGGAAAAAAATATTCGACATGGATCTTGTTGGATAGATCTCGACGAATACAATAAAATTCATGTGTAACACGTTCTCTAATTTTTTTACGGATCACGAGATATGGTCGTTTAAAGATTAGAGATGTTTTTTAAAAGAGAGAGAAAAAAAAATCAAAGGGACTAAATCTGTAAATTATAAGATGTTATTTAGAAAAGTGGAAAAAAGTGTAGTAAGGACTAGTAGTGTAAAAAAATAGGAGGGGGAGTATGGTGCCCTCGGGTACTGGATAGAGACTCGGTCACACCTGCTCAATTTTTTGTAATTAATTGGGATATCTTAAATTTTAAATAGAAATTATGTATTGAATAATTTTTCGCATTCTACATTGATTCCTTAATATTATTAGTAGTTTTATTTAAATTTTGCACCTCCAATATCAATTCCTGTCTCCGCCACTGGGTAGCTAAATAGTCTTTTCTTTGTTGGTTTACTTCTTTCTTCACTGATAAAATATAAAAAAATTGTGTTCAAAGGAAAAAGATGCATCAAAAAAGGAAAAAACAAAACTTAATTACACGAATGTGATCATTCATTTATTTACTTGCCCAAATATGAATAATTATTCTTCCGAAATGTCGGATACAGTGGCCAAACTCGTAAATGCTCGTAAATTGATTATTTCGTAAATTTTACTTATTCAGATACGTAAATGTTTCTGTGTTGATTATTCCGTCATAGTTTGTTTCATGTCAACAATTGTCTGTGTGACTTTTATAACAGGGTGGTAAGGTACTTAGCGTTGTCTAATAATAATGAATGTACAAATTCAAGAAAGTGTTTGACGAAGGAAGTTACAAATAAATAAGTAATTCCAGAATTCAATTGGACAAGGATGAAAAGTTTCGACAGTTTGGCGGTGAGTACAAATTTATATTCAAGCGAAACCCATTATCAAACATTATACTGAAATAGACAATTAGAAGTTTGGTGGTCGGTATGTTATGAAATATATACTGTATTCGTTTCAAAAAAATAATTCACATTCAAAAAACAAATTATAAGGAGGTTATTATCAATATTTTTTTATTGTATTCTTATTAAATTAATGAGTCAATCTTCATTATACACTACCCGAGCTAGGCTCGAGCCTAATACTAGTTTACAGTAAAATTTATTCTCCTTATTTTTTTGGAAAACAAGTTTTTATAAATAGTAACTTGTAAAGAATCAGCTTTTTTTAAAAAAAAAAAGGGTACAGAAGCGAGAATTATATTTCAAGATTTTAATCACTATTACATTATGAAAATCTAGTTACTCTTTGAGGGAAAAACTTTCTTCATTAACTTTTCTGCAATGGAATACGTCATGATCTTTGAAACATGTTTTAATGCCTGCAGTATCTCTCGATTCGATTAATCATCATTCCCAAAGAAAAATGATTAATCAATATAGAGTAGTGCCCCGATTAAGGGTGTTAAAAATTGTTAAATAATTGATAAGTAATCCGTTTTACGGTTTTGGTTTATTGGGTTTTGGGTTAATTATAAATTTCTACCGGTTTAATCAAAATTATTTGTAATATTTTTCGAACAAAATGCTTTGAGATTTAGCCTAATTTTTAAATTTTGTTCCTCTAATTTATATAGTGCGTGTCACATTTTTAGCCCTACTAAACAATGAATTTTTTTTTTTGAATCATAAATCCGCATTAAAAATAATCAAACCAGCCGGTTATTCAATTTAACCAATAAAGATATAAACAAAACTGAAAATCGAATCAACTAATTGGTAAAAAATCATTTAACCGATAGTTATTAATTGATTAATCGATAATTCCGTTAATTGGCTCAATTTTATGTCAATTTTTATTTCGGTTAATCGTTGTTGATTTTTTTAACACACGTAACCCCAAAAATCGAAACGGGTGATGCCATTCGAGATTGGCAATTTCATTATCATTTAAGATTAATATTGCCTGATTTTATTTATCAGTTATAGTTGAACGATTTCTGATATCATTGAATAAATTTTTCTTTCTTTCTTTTTTTTTTTTTACTTTTATCCTAGAAAAATTCAATATTGTTGCATAAATAGCAGCATTCTCGTTTAGTCCCAAAGGACCCAAACTATTCCATTTTATTATTCGATTAAGTATGATGCAAACAAAAACTTGGGTATACCAATTTATTGTTCCACAATCCCACATGTATAAACCAAAGAAGAAGTCTTTGGCGTGTGTTTAATAAATACTTAGAAATTCATTAGGAAGATAAGATAAGGATATTTAGTTATTTACTCTTAACTTTGTAGTATTTGTTAAAATAGTGCCCAAGTCTCCAAGCTGGAATTCGAATTGGAAGAACATGACCTTAACTGCCCACATGATTCCAAAGTAAGCTAACCAAGAACGAACCATAAAATAATCTCAAAAGCTTCCACTGAAAAAAAAAAAGAAAAGGGCAGAATACCATTTTGTAGTAAATTGAAATTAGCAACGGTTAATAACAAAATTTGGTCAGCAAGCATACATTTTCTTTCACTCCAATTACTTTAGAGTAACAATTCACAATATATTCCCCGCACACATCAAATTGTACGGATTAATTTATGCCCGATTGGTTGGGGAAAAAACGATATAGTAAGATGAATGTTTAAAAGACGTAAAAAACAATGATAACAATGAATACTGATTATTACTTATTAGTAGGAGCGAGTTAAAATTTGTTGATAAAGTTACAAAGAAGTACCGCAATCATATTATTATTAGAATAGTGATAAATATATAGAAAATTTACAAGGAAAACTTACAAGAAATGATGTGTCATTTATCAAAACTATACCATAACCTTAAATATTTAAATCCTAAATGAAAAATTTTAAAAATAAATGGCGATGATCAATTTCTTATCATTTTTCCTTATCATTTTTTTCTTATACTAATTATTATCCTAATTATTATTCTTTTATGGTAAACTTGTAGTACTCCTAACGCGCAAAATATATGAATAGATCTCACCTAAAGGTGAAAATCCCTAAAATGAAATAATAATGAATTTTAAATAATATAGGAGGACAGTGGACACCACATCATCTGGTCCCACATGGATGATCTAACTTAAGAAACCATGATCAATGGTGAGAAATGGGGCTGTTGCAACCAATAGTACCACCCCATTTGACACTAATACTTGTTCTTCGAAACTAAAAAATTAAAAATAAAATTGAGAAATTAATTTAAAAGGCCATCACCTAAATTATGGATATCCATGAATTATTTATCAACATCATGTCACCATATTCTCACTTCATAGTGTATACATCTTTCAATCCAATTTGTTTTTACCAACTTATGCAAAATGAGGGTTTATAATTTGATTCAAAGGGAAATAAGTAGCGTTTCATCTGTCTCAAAAAATAAATATGTATGTTTCTTGAATAAAAACAATAAATAAGAAATTTTTTAGGACCGGAAAAGTACATTATAGAGTCCTTATTTTTCTGAAGAAAAATATAGCTGAGAATATATTAACTATAATAATTATGAAAAGAAGTCCAAAACTCTCTTTGTTTCTTTCTCCTGTTTTTGGTTGTTCTCACTTCTCTGGCCCTCCTCCCCCCTTCCTTTTCTACAAGTTCTTCTTCTCATTTTTTTTTAAATAAGATTTTCAAAATCATACTTTAAATAATTAAAAAATCCACATGTTCACTAACCTTTTGGTCTTTTTCAATATAGTAGAAGAGAAGCATTTTCAGAATATGAATGTATTATTATGTGTTGAGAAGATAGCATAAGAAGTCCACAGTCAACAACAAGCCAGGGCAATAATATTCCTCTACCACATTTAAGTACTTTTAGATATTAAATTTAAGGCAAAACAAAATCCCTCTTTTTTTTTTTTTTTGGTGCTTAGAATTCATAGTAAATTATATAAAAAGGAGTAAAAAAAACCCAGAAAATAAATTTTAAAATTATTATTAAACAAAAAAGAAAAAAGAAAAGGAAAAGCAAACTACAGTAAAGAAAGCTGAAACATTTACTTCATATACAATACAACAAGAGAGGTCACACATATACACAAACCTCTCCCCTCCTTCCCTTTCCCATTTCACCTTCCTTTTATCATCCATTTATTAGATTCCTTCAATCTCCGAATGGTTTTTTCTTCCTTCCATTGGATTGTACAGATTCTCAGCTAAAGAACCCATCTTTTACCTTTGCCGAGTTTGTTGAATTTTTGCTGTTTTTTTTTTTAGTAGTTTTCTTCTTATTTTTCTGGAACTTAAGGATACAGACTCCCTCTGGGTCTTCTTGGGTTTTAGCTGTTTCTTGTAGAACTTTGTTGTGAAAAAAAGGCTTGATACCCAGTAGCATAAGTGTTATAAAAGACTGTTGAATGATAATTTTGAACATACATATATTTTAAAAAATCTAATCTTTAATTTTCTTTATAAATTTTCCTCCTAAGAAAGCTGGTACCTTTTGTCCAGTTTTCTTCTAAATTTAATTTCAAAGCTTAGTTTTTTTTTTTTTTTTTGTGTGTTTTGGGAGAAAGAAACTCATCAATATGGGAAAGCAAGGACCTTGCTACCACTGTGGTGTAACAAGTGAGTTCAGAAATTTTTTTCCCCTTAATTTCCCATCAATGTATTTTGGTATGATTTTTTGAATATTCAAGAAAAATGGGTTCTTTTCGGGATGCTCAATTTTGAGTTTCTATCTAATCCTCTAATTGCCCTTGTATGCTGGGATGCTTGGATGAGTTGTTTAGTCTTGCAAACGAATGCCCGTGTGCTTTTCATTTTCGAACGGGAGAGATCATATAAACTGAAAAATTAGTACTAATATGCACTTTGGGAACTTTGATTTTTGATTGCCTATTAATCTCACAAACCCAATATTCTGGTGTAATGAGTTGGACTTTTGGTACTGAGGTTTGGCTAATGGGTTGTTCTATCTTCTTCAATTTATCTGTGCTATTCATTGACTCTCTTGAACAATGTATGACTGATCAATCGTGAACTGAGAGTTCTTACATTGGTATTCAGCCTGGGTTCTATTGCATTTATTTTGCTCTTCAATGGAATTGGAAGCATCTCTATTCAGGGAATCCCATGCTTCCTCACTTAAGTTTCTGTTCTTGGTCCCAAAATCCAAGTTTATTGGAAACTTGCAATCCTTATTTCTGATTTGGTGTTAACTTTTGTACACCTTATTAGAAGAATCATGAGCCAATCCCAAATTGTTGTGGGCTTTCACATTCTTCTAAACTATATTTGATACATGTAGTTTTTTATTATGCCTGTTTCAAGGCCACATTGCTTTTAAAGCAGGATAGTACATTTCATTCTTGCCCAAAATGAAAATTCAGCAATGAAGTTTAATCATTCTCTTGATTTCATCTTTTCCGTTTCACCTCTTGTTGCTCTTCTTTGTACATCAATGGGGAGCATGACTTGCGATAAATTTGTTTTTGAAACCTTCAAGCTTGTTCTGTCTCCGTAAACTTCAGGCATATACTACTTGGATCAACTTCGAGCCTAATCATGGGACTATTACTTTCACTAGTATAATGCAGTATCTGCTTAAGCATGACCAATTAGCACATTCCGAGGCCATCAGTTCTTAATGGTTACATTTTGTGAAAATTTTCCAATGATTGTCTGCTTGGCAACTGTGGATGAACTTTAGGAATTGGGCCTTCACTAATATAATGATGTGTACTTGAAGGCGTCCTTTAGCTTGTTCGATACCGACCATTTTTAAGTGGCTTGTAATATTACAATTAAGACTTGCTTTAGTGCTTGATGATTGTGGTGGTGAATTGCTTTACCAGTAACTTCTTTCCTGTTGCAGTTGCAGAAGTATTGTGATGGCCTTTGTTAAGGCATTGAAAATAGGAGTTCACATATTTAATAATGATATCGTTTTAAGACTCATTTCACATGGTCTTTTTGTTCCTATAAATTGAGATGCCGCATTGTATGAGATAATGCTATCAGCAGAATTTGTCAATCTGGATTTCAGAACCTCATGTTGCTTGCATTTGTTTCTTCTAAAAGTGGCTTTTCTCCTTCACTTTTTCATGTTTTCTCTGAAATTCAAGGGTTTCATTCTGATTCAGGTGGCTCCAGTATATAATCGGTTTAACTTCTGATTGGGAACAGTATTTTATTGTGGTGCTTTATAATGCTCTAAAAATTGTCTGAAAGCAAATTTTCCTTTGTCCTCGTGTGAAGTGGAGCATTATAAAGCTGTTCTGCCAATAGTTGAAGGATATTAAGGAAAATGACATGTTTGCTACCTTTTTTGGCTCTTGTTTATGACTGCATTCTTCATAATTTTTTACTGCATTCTTTGAAATGTGTGCTCAGTTTCCGGGTTATCTTTCAGTTTAGGATTTTTAATCCTGTTCCTCATCTTTGTGCTTCTTACATAACATTGCAGCACAATACATTTGTTTGCCATCAAGTTAATGTACACTAATTTCCTACCATTGATCATTTTAGGCACCCCTCTTTGGCGTAATGGGCCTCCAGAAAAGCCAATACTGTGCAATGCATGTGGGTCCAGGTGGAGAACTAAAGGAACGCTTTCAAACTATACACCGTTACATGCTAGAGCAGAACCCGATGACTTTGAGGACTATAGGTTTTCTAGGCTCAAGGCCACACCTACTAAGAATAAAGAGGCCAAAATTCTTAAGAGAAAGCCAACTTATGAAAGTTTTGAAGTTGGAGGTTTTTCTCCTGATTATAACCAAGGTTTTCGCAAAGGATTTGATGAAGACACAAGTAACAGATCCAGTTCTGGCTCTGCCATCTCAAATTCTGAGAGCTGTGCACAATTTGGCGATGCAAGTGACTTGACTGGTGTGTTGGCTGCTTTTGCATGATTTTTTTCTTTTTGAACCTTCTAGGACTTCATATCCTCAATACATTCCTATTGGCTCTAATCTGCTTTTTTGGGAAGATAGATGCCATTGAAGCACGTCAATGTTTGATTTATTATTTGTGATGTTGTTCAATCGTCATTGCAATAGGTTTTGAAGCTTCTATAATCTTTTCAGGTCCTGCGCAACCCGCAGTTTGGGACTCGATGGTTCCATCGAGAAAGAGAACTTGTGTCACTCGTGCAAAACCATCATCAGTTGAGAAACTCACCAAGGATCTTTATACTATTTTACATGAACAGCAGTCTTCCTATTTCTCTGGGTCTTCTGAAGAGGATTTGCTGTTTGAGAGTGACAAACCAATGGTGTCTGTTGAGATAGGGCATGGAAGTGTACTCATTCGACATCCCAGCACAATCGCTCGTGAAGAAGAATCAGAAGCTAGCTCCCTTTCAGTTGATAATAAGCTGCACACTGGAAATGAGGCTTATTCTCGATTGACAACCTTTCCTGTACATACTGATAATAAGGGTGTCAATTCGACTCCAGAGATGGAGAAGATCAAGAAGCCTACTTGCCAGGGTGTAGACCATGAGCAACAGATTAAGAGGTAATTCCTACTCTAATACTGATTACTGCATATAGAATTCTTAAATTATGCAAAGGTGCTTGAAACCAGTGTCTAGAAGCTCATTGAAGTGAATGCTGAGATGCATCATTATCCATTTTCAGTTTATGATAACTATTGGTTCTAGAGTTTTCAATGCTTCCCCTTTATGGAGAAAGAGAAGCAGTTCCTGACATGTATAACTATTTGATTTCGTACCACTGTTGATCAATCTCTGGATGTACTTGCATAATATGCGTTTTTGTTTGTTGCCAGAAGCTAAAATTGAAAAATCTGGCTCGTGCTAATGCACCGAAGTTTGATGTGGTTTTTATTTCTTTTGTTGGATTAAATCAGCGTTCCTATTTTAGTTGATTTAATTTTATCTGCTGCATTTGCATCACAGGGATCAGCTGGAAAAACTGCAATTGCTGGGTCATCACAATTCGCCTCTACATTCCATTGACTTGAAAGTAAGTTGCAGTTATTCAGTTGTTTGATTGCTGCTCTGAAACAAGCACTTCCAAAAGTTTCTGCTTGGATTCTTAGCTAGATTGTAAACAAGAGTGTGATGACTTGTACTTGAGCGCTTTCATTAGTGTTTGTGGAAGTGAGAGTTTTATGACTATGATGGAGTGTTTTTTAACCTTTTCTTTCCAATTCTATGTAATTACGATACCCTGAACAATTTGTGAAGTTCTTTTTTTGCTCAGTGTTTTTATTATATCATTTGAGAGATGGATTAGTACATGGGTACATTTCGAATCGTATCAGCTGATAACATCAGTGTTCTCTATATTTTATGCAGGAAATTCTCAATTTTGCCGAGTTTAGTCAATTGACCAATGATGAACGTCAGCAGTTGCTCAAGTTCTTGCCTCCAATAGATGCTTCTGTTACTCCTGAGAGGTTTGGCTTGTAATATTTTGCTTATGTTTTAATTGTTATGCATACAAGAAACAGAGTTGCTGAAGTATTTACCAGTTGAACTTTAAGGAAAGTTTTTTTACTTATCACTTAGGAGGATTAACTCAAATTGAATCAAGATATCAGTGAGGATCTGTAGATATAAATCAAAGACTCAATGGTACAAGTGGGAAGATGACTAATCTTGAAATCTTGCATCATCATGTCTGCGATAATTGTTTTCCTTCAATTTAAATTCTTTAACTTGAAAACTTTGATGTAGTGTTATCTTTGATAACCATCAAACTCTATTCATGGTAAAACTCATGACATAATGCACTCATGCTCTAATGCTGATGTATTTTTTGTGCAGTCTTAGAAGCATGTTTGAAAGCCCTCAATTTGAGGAGAACATGTCAAACTTCCAGAAGCTTCTTGCTGAAGGTGTTCTGGACAACACACTGTCAGGGGTGAAGACAGATGATTGTCGGACTTTGAAGAGGCTTGTCTTATGCAATCTGACAAAATCGAAGTGGGTGGAACATTATAGTGTTCTAAAGGTTTGCACTTTGACATTTTAACAATGTATTTTCTTGAACAGATCGATATGCGGTCTGCAGGTTGCATAATTTTATTATTTCTGACTATATATGGTCTGTAGGATAAGAGGAGAACTAGTAGCTGCAAGTCTGATGTTGCTGGAGAATTTAATGTTGCCACTGGTCATTCAGTGAACATGAAGAGATCACGAGATGCCCAAACCACAAGATTTCCAGGTTTGCAATTTCTGTTCTCATTCATGTCCTTAGGCTGGTTTTAATGAACTAATACTGCTCCTAGTTGATGGTTGGTAACATTCTAAAAAATTTATCGAAGATAAATAAAGTTCGAGAAGCTGTATTTCGATATCAAATGCTTTATACATTGTTGTATTCACATTTTACGTATAACGTGTAAGTTTCTGCAAACTCCATTATCTTCTGCGATGCAAAAACTTATTCCTTATTATATCTTTTTCAAATATCCTGTGAGCCTATTGGTATTGGTGTTTATGTTAAGGGAAAAAAAAATGGTTTACATGTATAACATGAAACGAAACCAATGTTCTTCTTTGGCTATACATTCCATTTCCTATTTAACCTTAATCTAACTGATGTTGTCCTTTTCAGCAGTCGAACAAAACAAGCTCTTCACTGCTCTATATTTATGATTTTAAAACAAGAAGTTTAAAATTGAATGGAAAAACAGGAAGTTCTAAGCTGCTCTGATGTAGAATACATAAATTGCTTGTGTACTTTTTTCAACAGGCTTAGTATTCTGAATTTAGGTATCATTAGTGTTTATTGTTTACTCTATTCTCTCAAGCATTCAAGAGCTACCATGATATTTTATCGACATCAAATAGGGAGATGGCCCTTTGACTCATTCCGAAAATGTTTGGCATTATCTGCAAAATCACCTTAGTTGTTGTCATGCTTGCAGGAGCAAAGACCATGGTGAAGAGTCCTAAAAGGGTCACAACGAAGGCGGACTATGAGCAAAGGGACTTTATGAACAATAATGGCTCGTATTTCAGTCCAAGAAATCTTTTTGGCCCGCCTCCTGATAATAACTCTTTAGTCATTGACTCTTTTACTTCAGCCGAAAGTTGTGATCAGGATCTGCTGCTGGATGTGCCATCAAACAGCTCATTCCCACAGGCAGAGCTCCTACACCCAAGTTCTAGTTTTGGAGCCCAAGCAAGTACTAGTAGTAGCTCAGGATATCCATATATGTCGCGTCCCTAACGTAGCAGCAGAAAAGCCTAATACCTCTAGTAGCTGATTCCTATATTACGCATCTGCGAAACCCAGTCTTTATGAACCATACATTTTGTATGTCAAAATAGAGAACACAAAAAAAAAAAAAAAAAGAGGTCTTGGGGTTGCCTTTACCTTTTGAACTTTCTTCTCCTTATTCTTAATGACCTACCATGGAATTTGGAGAAAAGGACATGGGTGGCGTTTGTATAGGTTGACAGAGATTGTATTATATAGATCATAATACCAACGGGAGTTGGTAATGCTTTGGAAGATTTTTGGTATTCTGCAAAGATTATGAACTTACAATCGGTAACTTTGCACATTGTTTGCTTCACAAGTAAGTTTTGCATGTGAAATCATAGCCTGCGTATTAAGCTTGCTGTGTGATTTTTGGAGGTTTTAGCAAAAGTTTCTTCAATTTTAATTCCAGCCGAAGGAAGTGTTTTTTCTTTTATACTACTGATGATCAGGCTTTGTTCAAATTTGAATAGCCGTTACCTGTTTGGCGCCATATGATGATGACAAGGACGGCCCCGCCACTCACTAATTGACACGACGTCGTCATGGTGACTGCTCTTTAGTGAATCTGATTTTCCTTATTGGATCACTTCTCTCACTTCAGTAGGCCCAAATTACTAGTACCTTTCTAAGCCCACAGAGGACAAACAAAAATCATTTATAAATAATTATTCGTTTTCCTCTTTATTTATTTATTATTTTTTTTTTTTTAACAATCTGGAGAGTTTCTGGGCTAAATTAGTAGTTTTGTGGTACGGTTTTTTTAACCAAAAATTAAAAAATACAGTAGAACGTCTATAAATTTAATAATCGATTATTAATAACAATTGTAAATTGATTTCTTTCTGGATCAGTACAAACTAAAGACAATTGATAAAATAATAATATAATATTTTAAAAACTCTTATGTAAATACAGGTTCGTCAATATCGTAAATTAATAATTACTTAAAATAAATAAATAAATATATAATAGAAACTAGTAAATATGAATGCATGTGTTTTTTTTTATTTTATAATTTCCATCTAAAGAGATCTCATCTTTGATTTTTTCTGTTGCTTCCAAAGTTCTGAAACAGAGTTTTCAAATTGCAACAAAAACTTTTGAAAAATTATTACTGTATTAAATGCTTCTTTTCGGATAATTGGTTTCGAAGATGTCGAGTCATCATATTTTCATCCCAAGTCAAATTTTTAGTCATGCTAGTTACAATGTCTCTAAAGATTTTATAAATTAATTGTCAATTTATTGATAAAGTAACAACTATTAATTTACTGATAATTTAATATCTATAAATTAATAATTTTTAGAATCCTAACAGTATTAATTTATATATGTTTAGTGTGATGATAAAATAAATTTTAATATCGCTCACTTAGTTTGAACTTTGAAGCCCTCAAAACTTTAAAAAAAAAAAAAATGTATACAAAGATCCCGTGGCAAAATCACGGGGCTTGCGCAACAATATAACAATGTACTGCCGAGATTTCAAAACGATGTGGAGTATTTATACATTCTTTTCCACAATTAAATAATCAACCCTATGAGACTTCTGTGAAAAACACGGGGCATAGCGCGAGTTAGTCAAAATTCAAAAATTAACAAAACACATACTGCAATACTTTTAAAAAATTTATTTTCTGATAAAAAATTATTTTTGAAAATATTTGGGCTAAATTGTCTTGGGGGAAACCAATTGTTCAATTAAACATTTTTGTTTCTATTTCCATTTAATAGAATTCTATAAACAACCAGAGCGATTTCCACAGGCTCGAAAACAAAAGATAGAAGAAAAAAATGAGAAAAGTTTCTAAATTTTGTACTCAGGATGTTTTGTTAGACTATGAAACTATCTTTCTGCTAGCTGATAATGACATCAAGAGTTTCACTAAAACCCAAGCTCAAATCAGATTGTTAGGAGGAATGACTTCAAACACTGAGTGCGTGATATGCCAAGATTTTAACTAATAAGTGCAGTAACTGGGGTCTTCAATAAGCACATAAAAAACCACAACATTCTTCAGTATCCAGGGTCCCTTCATATGGAGTAAAAGCCACATATGGCAGCAGATTATCATCCTATGGTAACAAAATCTAAAACCTATGGCACCTTGTCAGTTTCAGCTCACAGTTCATGGAACATTACATCTCAACCTTAGCAACATAGTAACGAACAGTTGACTGAGCAGTTAGAGCTTCGTCACCTCCAAAGGTCCTGGATAGGTCAGCAGTTCAGTTCCTACCTTTGCCACTGTTAGGTGGCAGGACCAACAGTCGCCCAATATCCTCTTCCTACTTGCGCAAAAACAGAATTCACAGAAAATTCGAAAATCAACCTGTTAACTGCCTAATTGTATGAGCTAAGAACACTGAAAGGTCAGCGTAAACAACTCATGTTAAACTGTCAAAAAATGCAGCACAAGTTCCCATATCTGACAAATTCTTTCAGCTCTTCCAAGCATTAAACGTGACATTTACATCAAAACAGATTAACAGGTAATGAAAACCTACATCAAGTTCTACTTACTACAGCTAGTTAAACCACGCCATCGACAAGAACACGTGATAAATACCCCCAAAACTTCTTGCAGTACTGTACAGAAGATTTCCCCATGCACTTAGTTATATGAACATTGGTCTGACTGCATTACACATCCCTATTCAACAAAAACATTAACACTTCTAGGCCACCAAAAAGCTGTACCCCAAGACAGTAATTAAATCCACCTAGGCTGAGGAAAAGTCATACCTCTCCTTTTTGCTGTTTCTAAAAAGTCTACCTCGCTATCATGCTCTACCTTCAAGAAAAATGCCAAAGCATCCAAGAGTTCCTTAGGAGAGAGATTCTTCAAATCCAGACTATCAACATCCCTCCTTCCTCCCCTTTCATTGTGATTCTCCCTCATTGATCGCGGCAGTTCGCGTCTTCTTCTCACCACCTCCTTCCACCTTTGATTGCCATTATCGCTGCTGCCATTACCATTGTAATTGAATGCTTCAATATCCTCTCTATTCATAGAATTCAAACCCTCCTTTCTGCATTCCCTCAACTGGCCCCTGTTATTTCTAACCTCTTCCTCCAATTCCTCCATGTCCGAATCCCCATCCCTGGACACGCTTTTGTCACCATTATCTAGATGAACCCCTTCATCTTCCTCCAATTCCTCCACATCCAAATCTCCATTCCTGGACACACTCTTGTCACCATTATCTAGATGAATGCCTTCCTCTTCCTCCAACTCCTCCACATCCAAATCACCATTCCTGGACACACTCTTGCCATCAATATCTAAATGGATGCCTTCCTCTTCCTCCACTGGATTGTTATCATCACTGCGAGAACCACCATCATCGGTAGCATTCTCAGCTTGCATCTCATGATCATTTTGAATGCCTTCTTCACCATTGTTGCTGCTAACTTCATCAACACTATTATCATCAGATTCCTCAACCGAATGCCAAGCGTTTAAAATCAAATTCTCATCATGCTCCATTTCGTCATCACTCGTATCAATATCTAATTCAACAACCTCATCGTCGCCATTATCCACCTTTTCATTAATTATAGCCACTTCCACCTGAGCATGCACCGTTGAGTCCCCAATTTCTTCCGCAACCCTAATTTTCTTCAACGCCGGTCCTTCACATCCACCCTCAGAAACCCCAAATTCCTTCAATCCAACCAAGAATCCGTCATTTCTTTCCAAAAGATCGCCCCTCGAGGCTCCAATTTCATCCCTTGTCATTTCCCCCAATTTCAAAAACCCTAGATTTTCCACACCTGGCTCATCGTCTCTACTTTCATCCTCAGCGGTTGCCCTATCCGCTTCACCTTTCGCATCTTCCGTTGACATTGGATTTGAATTCCGCCGGGGCTCTTCTTGGGAGGACGACTGGGAGAGAAGCTGGTCCTCCGGAGGGGTTTGGAAATCTTCATTTTCTAAAGGGGGATTCTCGTCAGTCAGCCATTCCTCGTCTTCACTGTCAGGAAGGGAAACCATGACGATGCCCGGAGGCGATGACTGCGTCGTACCCGGCGAAAATGGTGATCCCAAGGAATCGACGGCGTCGGGGAAGACCTCAGATTCTCGAGCAAAAGGGCAACTCTCCAATTTCAGCTCCTGCGAAGAAGTGGGTCGGCAGAAATTGACGAGAGAGCCATATGGATCTTCTTCTCCACCTTCCATCTCTCTTCACTCAATCACTATCGGTGCGCAACTCTGGGCTATTGGCTTTCTGTAATTCTAGGCAGAGATTTTCCCGCCATTGGAGAACTAGTACGAGTCGAGGCAATTGTGACGGGCGATCTTTTCATTACGGGTCGGGTGCCTTTGTTCGTTTTAAAACTTTTACAAAACAAGTCCTTTGCATTTTGCCGTTATTGTTCTTCGGGGTCTTAACTTTTTCTACCTCTGCCCAAAATAATAATAATCAGGTTCACATTACTTTTAATATTTTGTGTAAAAATCTTAAAATTCAATATAAACTATTTTTATAATACATATGGAGTCATAGTGGTCGAAACATAATACATTTTTAGTCAAGACCCCTATAATCCCGTATGTTGTTCTACCTCTAAATCGATTGGGTTTATGGTAGAATGACATGAGTTTACATGAGTTTCTGATATGGCATCGAAGTAGTTTTCCAAATCGTGGGCATATTTAATTATTATAAATTTTAAAAATAGTGAAAAAAGATTAGTATATATTCCACTAACTATGGAATGGCATGTTAGTAAAAGATTTTAAAAATAGTGAAAAAAAAAGATCCAAACAGACCCTTAACTACACTTCAAACTCGATGAAATTAGAATATTTTCCTAGAGAAATTCAAGTGAATTGGTCTACTTGAGGCCAAATATCTAGAATCTTACTATCTTTCACAAAATCAATTTAACAATCATAAGTTTTTTCCCCTTGTATTTGAAAATTTATGGCTCTTCTTTTTATTTTCATCATTTTAGATTTTAAATATGGTTTAAAAAGTGTTCTAAGTAAAAGTAAGATATTTTATGATTAGTTTTTTTAATAAAATATTAATTTCTCTATCACCACTAGACCACCCTATGCTATTGCCGGTCGGCGAGGGTCTGGTGGTGACAGGTGATAGTATGACGGAACCGGATCAAAATTATGTGAATATAATATTTAAGATAAATATTGAAATGTGAGTTTTTGAGACTCTGCCAAACATGGCCTATACTTTTCTGGTAATATTTTTAATGTTTATGTCTCTTTAGGAAATTTATATTGACTTAACTTATTATTTTATCCTTACTTTATTATTCCATTTACTATACATGTATCAATGGTTACAAAGCAATTAATACCATAGGAATTGAATGACAGTCTAATAGTTAGGTTGATGTCTTTCCTGGTAATAGACCAAAATTCGGTTCCCACTGAAGTTGTAAAGGGGGGGATTTACCCACATTTAAGTGAGGTTCACTGGAGTGGATTTTAAAAAGGAAAAAAAAACAATTACTACCACATAAGAGGTAACATACCGAATCTTTCTATTAACACTCTTTTGATAGTTCTTACTAAAAATGAATTAAAAAACTACTTTGATAGCCATAGAATTTTAGTTATAGAGCTGCTATAAGGTGTACACTAGAACTTTAGTAGTAAGAGTTTATGTAACGGATTGATTTTATTAATATATACTACAATTGATGATGATAATAATAAGCTCTAAGATATTTCTTCTGATTTCAAAAAAAAAAAAAAAATTTTTACAAATCTCCCATCAATCGGTACTAGTTGAAGTAATGAAAATTCCCCCTGATGATAAATACGAAACTAAAAACGATAGATAAAAAAAGAGCCCCCCGTTGGGAGTGAAATTCTGCTTCCTGTCCCCCTTTTAACAGAAAATGGAGAGATGAATTGATGTATTTATTGAATGAGTCGGGACTGACGGGGCTCGCTTCGAGTTTTGAAATTTATAGTATTTGCCGTACAAATCTCAAAATTTAATGTGAATTATTTTTTCAGAACAAAAATATTATTATACATTAGTAATATTTCACAAAAAATAAGATATTGATGATGAAAAAATAGGACTCCCGAACAAGCGGAAGAAATTTACAAGCATTTATTTTCCCATAGTAGTATTCTATCTATGTACTTTGAAAGACATAGTTCACATCTTAATTTTTAAATTATACTAAAAATAATATAATTGATAAATTACAATCAAAGTAATTTTTTTTTTCAGAAACCGAGAGAATATAATTTAGCGACAAGGCTGGTAAAATATTAGGTGCAGTAAGTGGAGTTGAAGTAGTTATTTCTGGAGAAAAGGTGATGAATTTTATGGGAGTTTAAACAACATAATCGAGAATGAGAATATTTATGTATATAATATTAATCCCTCCAATCTCCATAAATCAAAAGATAAGTAATTATAGACTTTGCACATAAAATAAAGAGTCAATTTTTTAACAATATTTTTGTGTTTAAATATCTGTTTAAATCTTCATTATTAATTAAATATATTAAAACTATCAACAAAATTAAATAAAAAAGAGTTGGTATCAGTTGTTGAGAGTAAATTTAGAAAATTAGTCATTAATTTGCCTTGAAATCCTGAAATACTTATATTTTGAAAATTTTCTCCAAATCTATATAGCGGTGTTACACTTTTTTTAGAAAAAAAAAACAAGTATAATTAAATATTGTGGTAAAATTAACTGTACACGTCAAAATTACACGTGTAAGTTTACCGAACGGAAGAGCACAGGGAAAACAGAAAACCGTCATTTTCTTTTGGCAGTCAAATAGACAACACTTGCCTAAACGGCTAAATTAAGTTCCGAGTTCCGACAAGGCGAAAAAGAATTTAAGAATTTAAGACGTACCCGAATTGAACCCGAAATTGTTCATCCCCGATTGCTTGTTGCCCGGAGAAATCCTTGAGTATCAGAACCGGAATCCGCTATTCAAGATCAGGTATTTCTCCCACCGTTGTCTCATTTTCAATTTCCCCCTTGGGAATACTGCTAACTTTTGGCGCTGAAGTGTTAATGTTGACGGTCATGTCTAAAATGTATAATCTGAGATTTTCGCTTTTTTTTTTTTCCTGAGGAATTATGGCACCGTCTACTTATTTTTTTTCCAATTATCAATGCCATGAAAGTGAATATCATTTTATTTTGGGTTTTCTATTGGCAGCTGACTGGGTAATTGAGCGGTGGGATTTTTCCCGGAGATTGTTTAGGTCAATGGTTGCATTCCCCTTTGTCATTGGAGTCCGTCTACTCTGGTAATCCTTACATGCAAAGCAAATCTCTGTTCTTCTTGCTGATTTCATCTTAAAAGTCAGTAATTTTTTTTCCATTATTCTATTTCTAGTTTGGAATTGAGGTTTTGAGTACTGTTTTTTGGTTGTAATTTAATCTTCTGGGATGGAGCCATGTGATTTTTGTTTTTTTCCACAGTATCTTCTTTTGCTTTTGTTTAGAATTCCATTGGCTTGACAGATTGGTGTAAGTCCTTATTTTAGGGACATTTTTAAATGTGAAATATGATTCTTCTGAGTAGATAATAATGCTTTCCGGGTTCAAAGTTGGGAGGGTGTTTATTTCGTTTTATGAACAAAGATGTACTATGCCCAGAGAAAATTTTATCCTTTTGTTGTTTTTCTAGCAGAAGCTAGAGTTTTGAGGTAGTAGATTTAAATGTCTGCACTGGCGAATGGCGAGGTGTCGGATGGCAATAGAAGTAAGCGATTATTAGAGAATGGGTATCACTCCTTGAATTCAGAAAATGCTACCAAGTTCAAGGTCAGAAAGGTGTCAGCTACCCGAGATTTTCCTCATATGTGTGGTCATGATTATCTGGTTGTCAAATCAGAAATGAAAGGAAATGTTACCCCTGAAGTTGGTGGAAATCATGCTATGCTGAAAACTGACGCCTCACAGGAGTTGGCCAACTTTGATCTACCTCAAGATGCAGAGATAAATGGTGTCGTTGCTTCTGCTTCAGAGTCCACTGTTACGAAGAATGAAACGGATGTCAAGGTTCTTTCTCATGAAGATCTGGAAAGTTCAGTTGGGGAAGATGGAAGTAAGTCACTGGATATGTTTTCTGAAAGGGTGGATGCAGGCGATGTACATGATATGGTTGCTGTGACGCATCAAATGGTGTTACATTTCAAATATATGGAATCTGAATCATTGAAGGACCATGAGAGTAAAAGTGTGGACATGGAATTTGCCAAGGATGGGAATGTGAAGGAGACAAAGGCTTCAGCAAACCAGTTAAGGAATGGAGAAGTTGCAGCTTTTGTGAAGCACCTTGATGAAGATGTAGTGAAAGCTTCAGGTGAAGTTGGTCGCTTGATCCAAGGGAAGATTTCTGTTCCCAGTCCAAAGAATAAATTTCACAGAAGAAGAATCTCAGCCACACGTGACTTTCCTCTGTATTGTGGAGTAACTTCTGCACCACCTATTGATCATAACGAGCGTTTAAAGTTCACCTCCGGGGAGCCTCTGTGTGGGGTTAGTGATGCTAATGAGGAAAAGGGTGTGGAGGCATTGAAGAGCGGAGCAGATACCACTTCATCGCTGGAGAGACGGACTAAGATGGTAGAAGAGTACCCTTCGGGCAAATTGGGGACTACTGCAGAAGTTGGTGATCCTGTCTTGTCGATGAGTTCTGGCTATGCAATAGAAAGGGGAGAACCTCGAAATAGTGATCTAAATGTAACAGAACCTGTAGGGACAGTGAGTTCACAGAAGAATCCTCAGGATACTGTTGTGGCTGATGGTGATGAGAAAGATCAAAGTTTATCTAGCAGTCAGATGGGTTCTCTTGGGCATGCCCATAGAACCAATAGGAGGGCTACAGGTGACATAGTTTTCTCGGGACAAGATGATAATCATGTGATTGTGAATGCTTTGGTGGCGGCAAAACATTGTCCTTGGAGGCAGGATAAATCGACTGCAATATCAGGTGGTTTGATGTTTGGAAGTCATTCTAATAAAATGAAAACAGCCAGGGGTAGTAAGTCAAAAGCAGTTGCTAAGAAAAAAATGGTCAAGGTTCATTCAAAGCCACCTCTCAAAAAGAAGGCTATCTCTCCTTGCAAGCATTCGGTTGATGGTCCAGGTGCAATATACCTTCAGGATGAAGGTGAATCTGGTTCCGAAAGTGAGTTTCCCCTTCCTTCTGTAGATGTGACCTTGCCTCCTTTTGGTCCTAGTTCGGACACTGGTAATGCTCGCAACAAAGTTAGAGAGATCCTCCGTCTCTTTCAAACTTTGTGTAGAAAACTTCTGCATGGAGAAGAATCAAGACCAGACATGCCAAAGATCAAAAGGATTGATCTTGTAGCAACGAAGATTATGAAAAAGAAAGGAAAAGAAGTTAATACGGATAGACACTATGTGGGTCCAGTTCCTGGTGTTGAAGTGGGTGATGAGTTCCAGTACAGGGTGGAACTAGCTATTGTTGGAATTCATCGCCTTTACCAGGCTGGTATCGATTCTATGATTTTTGAAGGAAAGAAGGTTGCTACTAGCATTGTTGCTTCAGGGGGATATGATGACGATATGGAGAATCCTGATGTCTTAATTTATTCTGGGCAAGGGGGATTGAAAGTTAAAGATAAGGAGCCACAGGACCAGAAACTTGAGAAAGGTAACTTGGCATTGTTTAATAGCATATCAACTAGAAATCCTATTCGGGTAATCCGTGGGTCGAAGGAGAAAGACATTGATTCACAGGACTCAAGGGGGAAACTGGTTACTAAATATGTTTACGACGGTCTATATACGGCGGAAAATTTTTGGAAAGAAACAGGGAGTCATGGTAAGTCGGTGTTCATGTTTAAATTGATTAGAATGCCAGGCCAACCTGAGCTCGCCTGGAAAGAAGTCAAGAAGTCGAAAAAAAGTAGAACGCGGCATGGAGTACTTGTTGATGATATTTCTGGAGGGAAAGAGCCATTTCCAATATCTGCCATGAACACAATTGACAACGAAACTCCTCAACCATTTTATTATATTAAAAAAGTAAGGTATCCTGATTCGCTCTATCTGCGTCCTGCAAAAGGTTGTGATTGTGTTGGTAGATGCTCTGATTCTCGAAAGTGCTCGTGTGCCTTGAGAAATGGAGGTCAGATCCCTTACAATCATAATGGTGCTATTGTTGAAGCAAAAACACTTGTATATGAGTGTGGACCTCATTGCAAGTGCCCTCCTTCTTGTTTTAATAGAGTCAGCCAGCACGGAATTAAATTACCACTTGAGGTATTTAAGACGAAATCAAGAGGCTGGGGTGTGAGGTCCCTATCTTCTATTTCGTCGGGAAGTTTTATATGTGAATATGTTGGAGAAATTATCGAGGACAAGGAGGCTGAAAAAAGAGTGAATGATGAGTATCTGTTTGATATTGGACAGAATTACACTGATTGTTCTCTCAACCCAGATGGATCAGAGAGTTCAGATCAAGCCGTGGAAGAAGGTGGCGATGGCTACACCATTGATGCGGTTGAGTTTGGAAATGTTGGAAGGTTCATCAACCATAGTTGCTCACCCAACCTTTATGCACAGAATGTTCTTTATGACCATGATGACAAAAGGGTGCCCCACATAATGCTTTTTGCTGCAGAAAATATTCCTCCACTGCATGAGTTAACTTATCATTACAATTATGTTGTTGATCAGGTCCATGATTCTGAGGGGAATATTAAGGTGAAGAGTTGCTATTGTGGTGCCTCTGATTGTACTGGGAGAATGTATTAGAAAGAATTGGAGCACAAAAATGTAAACGATCTTTTAGTTCTTTGTTTTGTATAAAATCTTTGGTTTTCCTTATCGTATCACATGCTAATGAAATAGTATGATACCAAATGGACATATTGCTATTTTCTAAGTGTTGTGATCAGGTTGTGCTTTATATTTGTGAAATCTGCATTTACTTTGAGGAGCTGATGACTGACACCACTGCATTGTTCCTCACCCTTCAGAGTGGAACCTCTTGTCACTAAGCCATGGTAAATACAGTTTTAAAATTGAAACGCTTACTTGTCCCGCTCTTCCAGGTTAACTTTTTTTGATCGGTTGATTTGTATAAATCAGTTCATTTTCAAAGTAAAAATGGTTAACTGTGTTGGACTTTATTTCATTTGTTTATTTTTGTTTCATTGTTTGTATGCAATAATGCAACATACATGGAAATGCCGTAAATGATATCATATATGTATGTCATTTATTTAGGCTTGATGTAACAGTCACAAGTTTCTTAATCATGTGAAATTACAATTATTTATGAGTTGAACTTTACAAGAGAACTTTTGATGGAATTCCCCTTTATTGCCAATTAGAATTACATATGTGTATTGCTGAGCTTAAGATCCTAATTTGAATTTCCTATTCTTACAAAGTCTGATTATTTTAGCTGTGATAAACTTGGTAATAGTTGATATCTCTATGTAATATATCATTTATTGCACAGTAAATATACGATTTCAGAATGTGCTTATTTTTTTAATCTCCTGGTTGTTTTTCAAGTATTTGTTTATTGTGGACTTTGAATGGTGGCTGTCGCACTCTGTGTGTTACAGGTTTTGAAATTTGAAAGAGCCTCAAAATCCTTAGAGCTGTGGTGAAATCCCCACTGGACCAGATTTTGCTATCACCTTGTTCTCTTACATTGATTCCCTGCTGTTCGTTTGCCAATTGTAATTATTGTCCAGTTTTCCATTTATATAACAATGAATGCTGCTATAGGTGCTAGAGTCGTTCATACAGTCTTTTTGTGGAAGGCAAGGAACTTCTCCTTAAAAGCCTAAACGAGAAGCAGCCTGACATTATACGACTAATTTAACCACAGCCACTGTAATGCCTCTGTGTGAGTTTAAAATTGAAGTTGTGTTCCCATCCTAGTTAATTTAGTATTTCCTCCAGCGTTTGATTAGGTCAGAAAACTGCAATTGTTGGATCATTTTGCATTGACTTGAAATTACTTTGCAAGCCTTTAATTCTCATTTGCAGCTTTCACGAAGAAACTGTTTCCAAACTTTTCTGCCTCACGTTCCAAGCTCAAAATATCAGGAGCTGTAATGACCTGTACTTTAGCTTTTCCATCTGTTTTAATGTTTATAACTTTTTCTTTCAACTTTCTGTAGTTTAGATTGTCCTGAACCTTTGGTGAAGGTCTTTTATTCTGTCAGTGGAATCTTAAATCATTTGAGGCATGGATTAGTGCTTCTGTAAGCTTTCATCATATCAGTCGATAATGTGATTGTTTTCTTTACGTTAATGTGAGAAGTTTTGCAAATCTTGGCAAGTTAGTCAATTGATGCTTCAGTGACTTTTGAGAGTTTATTTTGTATTTATTTTTGTGTACACAAGGAGCATAATTCATGAAGTATAAACCAGTTTGACCCAAAGGAAGTTTCTGGATTCAACTCATAATTGAATCCAAGAAACAAGTGAGTACCTCTATGATAAGAATAAGATTCATTCAATACATTTTAAACTATGAAGCAGATGGGAAGATAAGCAAGTCAGTCAAAATCTTCCAATTGCTGTGGTAGTGATTGAAATTAACTGATTATCTTGAAATCTTGGACCATCTTGTTAGTAATTATTGTGTTTCCTCAACTTAAAAGTCCTTCATTTGAGAATTTTATTATTGTTTCATACTCTCTCTGTCCCAAAATTTATTGTCCAGTTTGAGATTTCATTTAGTACAATTTGAACTAGTAACGAAAACTCAAACTGGACAATAATTATGGGACGGAGGGAGTAATTGGGTAATCGTGCTCTATTTTAGGAGAACATGTCCTACTTCCAGAAGCTTATTGCTGTTTGTGAAGGACAACACATTCTCAGGGTTGAAGACAAAGACTTTGAAGAGGATTGTGTTATGCAATCTGACAAAACCGAAGTGGGTAGAATTTTGTAGTGATGCTACCTTAAAAATATCAGCTACCTATATTCTGTCTGTAGGATAACAGCAGAAGTGGTAGCAGCAAGTCTGAACTTGCCAGGGGACATTCAGTGAACGTGAAAAGATCACGAGATGCCCAAATCAAATGATTTCCAGGTTTGCCACTTTTTTCCTCGTGCACAACTTGTCTCTAGGCTGGTTTCATACATATTGCTGCTCCTAGTTTAGGTTGGTAACAAGTTAAGATTGAAAGGCTCTGTTGGGATATCAAATGTCCAAGTGTATGAGTACAGGAGGGGAGGATTCGTATATGTAGTTCCTATGTTTGTTTGTTTATTTATTTTTTTTCACGGACATTTACGAGTAACGTGCTGAGCACTTAAGTTCCTTCATGCTCCATAGTATTTTCCTGTGTAAAAAGTTCTTTTTCCTCTTTCTTTTTAAATTTTTTATTTTATTTTATTTATTTATCTTTTGTATCTTTTCAATTGTAGTACAAGCCTATTAGTAGTATTTTTATTTATGTAAAGGAAAACAAAAAAATGGTCTTCGCATGTGCAATGAAGCAAGTCCAAGGTCCTTCCCTCACCGGGTATACATTCTATTTCCTTTTATAACTGAATGTAACCGATATAGTTCTTTTCAGACTTCAAACACAACAATATGAATCCTACTCTACATTTTTAAGTTTAAAACAAGAAGTTTAAGACTGACCGGAACAAAAGAAACTATAAGCTGCCACAGTTGTTGAATTTCATGGAATTCTGTTGGAGGATTTAACGGAGGAGGGTTGCCAATTGTGGAATCAATGGTTCATTGATTAAGCATAGGAGAGCTAATGTACCTGTTATATCGATCATAAATAGGGACATGACCTTGTGAACTATTTCTGAAAATGTTAGGTAATAATCCTAGCTGTCATGCTTGCAGGAGCAAAGACCATTACGGAGGGTCCTAGAAATCTTGTTACAGCGAAGGCGAAGATGAAGGCGAACTAATGGTTTACAATGAGGGCGAACTATGGGCAAAGGGACTTTATGAACAACAGTGGTCAGCGGCTCTTGTTTCCGTCCAAGAAATCTATTTGGCCTGCCTTCAGTCCTGGAATCTTTTATTTCAGCAGAAATTCCTGATCAGGATGTGCCATCAAACAGCTCCTTCCTACAGGCAACTCCTGTACCCAATTTCTGGTTTTGGAGCTCAAGCAAGTATTATATCCATCGCGTCCCTAATGTAGTAGCAGAATAGAAATAGATAGGTGCTAAGGCTTCCTTTACTTTTCTCCCTGGTTTTGAACTTCTCCTTTTTCCTAATGACCCATATGTAGTAATCTACATTGAATTTGAACTTAGAATGAGTAGAGGACCTAGAGGTGTCGTGTTTATCGCCTGCTGTAATCTGCGTATGCTATACTTGTAAGCTTGCCATCATCACCTTTTAAGAATTGAGACCTTGCTTCTTCAATTTCGTTTTCAGGCTGAGGAAGTGTTTAAATGGTATTTGTGGATTTGTTCAAATTTGATTAAGTTTCACACCATGGACGGTTCTTTGTCTGATTGATTTTCCTTCTTGGATCACTACAAGTAAGCCCGTAGGCCCAGAATTGCGCCCAGTTTTTCCAAACCCACAAGAAAAAGCAAAATTCATTTGTATTGTATTTATCATATCCACTTTCTTTTTTTTTTTTTAAAAAAAGTAGTAACTTTATCAAAATTCATCTATTTTTAATTATTTTGAATATAGAATTATGTTTAGTTTATATTAAATAAATTCCAATAAAAATTTATCTATTTTTACTGTTTCGCGCCATTTAATGATGGACGGTTCTCTGTCTGACTGATTTTCATTATTGGATCACTACAAGTACGCCCGTGGGCCCAGAATTGCGTCTAATTTTTCCAAGCCCACAAGAAAAAGCAAAATTCATTTGTATTGTATTTATCATACCCACTTTCCTTTTTTTTTTTTAATAAAAAAAGCAGCAACTTTATCAAAATTCATCTATCTACAAAGAAAAATTACAAGGAAAAAATTACAAGAAAAATTTACAAGGAAATGATGTCACCTATTCATTGTTTAACTTTCCAAACAGAGTTTATGCATTTAAAATGATGACATAGTTAAGATTTTGATACATCATTTCTTTTTTTTTTTCCTTGTACCTATCACTACTCTTAAAGAAATTCCAATAAATTCACCTGGACTCACCATAATCCGTATCCTTCCGCAGAAAAAGCATGTTGATTCCAGTTGTGAGAAATGATACGAGTCCAGATTTTTTCATTAAAGATCACGTGTCTATGGGTAGTTGTCCAATAATTGTCTTTTATTTCACGTTAATTTTTTTTATTTTTTAATGTCATGCTAAATACTTGTATTATCGGAAGCTGTTATTTGATAATTAATTTTAGAGTCTAAATTTAGATAACAATATTTTTCGTGTAATCATCTCTTATGCTAAAGTTTGAAGATACAAACATTATTTTTGTATTCTTTCAAGTCTTACTTTCAAGAAAAGAAAAATGTCACTTTTGTGTTCCTGACAAATGTTATCTAAATTATTGTTACAAATGTTATCTTTTTCGGTTACGATCGAATAGATGATGTGCGACATGTTTCATTAATTGCTGAGTTTTAAGAAGAAAGATAGTCCTTACAAGTAAAAATTATACTGGTGATACAAAATAACTCCCTCCGTCCCATAATTATTGTCCAGTTTAATTTTTCATTTTTAGTTCAAATTGTACTAAAAGTAAAATTTCAAACTAGACAATAAATTTGGGACAGAGGGAGTACTATAAAAATAAAAAAAATAATACTTACATAAAATTATCCTAACGAGAATTGAACTATCAATCTTGTACTAATAACAATCTTCCTTCTAACCGGTAACAAATCCAACCCAACTTTCCACCAAAGAAATTCACCCTAATTAATTAATTATAAATAACCATAAATGTAGTGAAATTTTGTAATGCTTTTCACACATCAGTAATTGATGAATAAATCACTCATCCGTTAAAATCTGTAAAGTATACTAGTATTTTTTTATTTTATTTTTCCCCTAATAAGTTAACATCGTAACCAATAGTCAAAATCACTGTAGTTTCCATTATTTTCCTAATTAGAAGCAGACCATAAAATCTGTTTTTCCGAATGCAGAATAGCATGACCAATAATAACTGATTAACACGTCGTCCACTAGAGTGTAAAAGAGTAAAACTGTCAAAAACCGCGTCATCCGGTAAACCCTCATTTTTTCATTTTTGTCTTTTTTTCAGACACCGCCTAAAAAAACCCAGTACTGACTGACCAGTGAGAAAAAAACCTTTGCTCAGAGAAATCATTGAGGAACACACGGTTCGCATGCAAACCGATCGGAATTCGCTCTGTAAAATTAGGTTTTTTTCGCCCAGAAGCAGCCTCGTTCTCAATCCTCCGCTCTATTTGTTGAGATTTGATGGCAATTGCGGCTCAGAAACTCCAGCGTTGATTATCAATTGCTGGTAAGCTGTCCTGTATCCGTACGAATTGCATTTTTTTTTTGGGTGAATTATTATCTCCGATTTCGTTTCTCTTTGTTTCCACATTCTGATGAGAAAATGTACCACTCTCAATTCGATTGATGTCTTGAACTTGATGTCACTTTTCAAGTTAGTGTAATCGGTCGGCAGCTGACGGTGTGATTTTCTTTCTTTTCTTTTCCATCGGAGATTTTCCGGCTGTATTTTTGCGCTTTTCTTCGTCATTCAAGTCCGGCTAGTAATTCTTACTTGTAATGTAAAACTCTGTTCTTGTCGTGTTTATTTGGTTCCTAAAATCATTGTTTTATTACAGTAATCTAGTGCTTTTGTTGAGTTGAGCTGTAGCCTATAGGTTACTTTATTGTGGTTCAATTACTTTTTCTGTGATGGAGCTTTGATTTTGCTTTTTGTTCGTTCTTCGTTTACTTTTGTTTTTTCGTGGAATTAGCTCGATGTACTGCTGAAAAATCTCATTACTGGGAAATGTTATTCTATTGATTAGCTATTAATGCATTCAGATTCAGAGTTGTGAGGGTTTTCGTTTTTGTGTATGAATAAACATATGATATGCTAGGGATTTCTTTGCTGCTTTTATGGCAGAAGCTAGGTATTTCCAGAAGTTGGTTTAAATGGATGTGTTGGTGAACGGCGAGGTATCTGATGGCAGTGGAACTAAAAGATCATTAGACAATGGGTGCTCCTCGAATTCAGGGAATGCTACCAAGTTCAAGGTCAGGAAGGTGTCAGCTACACGGGGTTTTCCTCTTATGTGTGGTCAAGATTTTCGGGCAGTCAAATCAGAATCAAAAGAAAATGTTATGTCATCAGGTCATAAACATGGTGGAAATCATCTTATGATGAGAAAAGATGCAACACAAGATTTAGCCAACTTTGATGTACTACATGATGTAGGGAGATGGGGTAATGTAGCTGGAGGTCCAGAGCCCTCGCGTATCAAGAATGCAACTGAGGTCAAGGTTCAGTGCAGTGAAGTTTGTTGCTTGATCAATGGGGAGGTTTCTACCCAAGAGGCTTCTATTCCGAGTCCAAAGATTAAATTTCGCAGAAGAAGAATCTCAGCCACACGTGACTTTCCTGAATATCGTGGATCCACTACTTTTGAACAACGTGTGGATCGGGATGAGAAATTAAAGGCCACCTTTTCGCGTGGGGTTAACAACCATGACAAGGGAAATGGTGTAGAGGCATTGAAGGCCAGTGCCGATAGCATTTCATCATTAGAGACACTGACTGGTAAGGTAGAAAAGTACCCTCCGGAGAAATTGCGGACTACTGTGGAATCTGGTGATCCATTGTTGATGGCTACTGTTGAATTGTCTCCTAGTAGGGAGAAGCTTTCTACTGGGCACGACCATAGCACCAGCAGGACTGCGGATAACGTACTATTTTCAAGAAAAGGTGATAATCATGTTATTGTGAATGCTTTGATGGCGGCGACGAGTTGTCCTCGGCGGCAGGATCAACTGACTACCGGATCAGGTGGTTCGAGGATTGGTAGCTCTTCTAACCAGGTAAAGATAACTGGGAGTGGTAACTTAAAAGCCGTCGCTAAGAAATCTATTGTCAATGCTCATCCAGGAAAGCGGTCTCTCAAGGGGAAGGAAGTGTTTGGTAACAAGCATTACCATTCACTTGATACTTTTGGCTCACGGCTTCTTAATGTTGAGGGTGAATCTGGTTCAGTAAATGAGGGGCCCCATGTGGATCCGTCTGTAGATGTTAGCTTGCCTCCTTTTGGTCCTAGTGCAATTACTGGTGATGTTCGCAACCAAGTTAGAGAAATCCTCCGTCTGTTTCAAGCCTTCTGTAGAAAACTATTGCAAGGAGAGGAGTCAACAGAGTCAAAACAAAAAATTAAAAGGATTGACATTGAAGCATCAAAGCAGTTAATACAGAGAGGAAAAGAAGTTAATACAGAGAAAAAGTATTTGGGTTCAGTCCCAGGAGTTGAAGTGGGCGACGAGTTCCAGTACAGGGTGGAACTTGTAATTGTTGGTATTCATCGCCCTTACCAGGGTGGTATTGATTCTATGGATTCTGAAGGAAAGAAAATTGCCATAAGTATTGTCGCTTCAGGGGGATATGATGATGATATGGAGAACCCTGATGTCGTGATATATTCCGGGCAAGGGGGATTAAAAGCTAAAGATAAGCAGCCGGAAGATCAGAAACTTGAAAAAGGGAACTTGGCATTATTTAACAGCATCTCAACAAGGAATCCTGTTCGGGTGATACGTGGATCCAAGGAGAAGGACATTGGTTCCCAGGACTCAAAAGCTAAGATAGTCACTAAATATGTTTATGATGGGTTATATACGGTGGAGAAGTGCTGGAGGGAAGCCGGGAATCATGGAAAGTTGGTTTTTATGTTTGAGCTGAGGAGAATGCCTGGCCAACCTGAGATTGCTTGGAAAGAAGTTAAGACGTCTAAAAAGGGTAGACCGCGACATGGAGTATGTGTCGATGATATTTCTGGAGGGAAAGAGTCATCTCCAATATGTGCTGTAAATACCATTGACAAGGAGAAGCCTCAGCCATTCATTTATACTAAAAAGATCATGTATCCTGATTCTCTCCATCCACGTTTGGCTAAAGGTTGTGACTGCATTGGTAGATGCTCTGATCCTCGAAGGTGCGCTTGTGCCATGAGAAACGGAGAAGAGATCCCGTACAATCATAATGGTGCAATTGTTGAAGTAAAACCTCTTGTCTATGAATGTGGACCTCATTGCAAGTGCTCTGCTTCCTGCTATAACAGAGTCAGCCAACATGGCATCAAACTACATCTTGAGATATTTAAGACAAAATCAAGGGGCTGGGGTGTTAGGTCTCTTTCTTCCATTTCTCCAGGAACTTTTATATGCGAATATGTTGGAGAAATTATTAAGGACAGGGAGGCTGAAAAAAGAGCTGGAAAAGATGAGTATCTTTTTGACATTGGTCAGAATTACAGTGATTTAGGTGAAGGCGTGGAAGAAGGTGGTGATGGCTACACCATTGATGCGGCTAAGTTTGGGAACGTTGGTAGATTTATCAACCATAGTTGCTCACCGAACCTATATGCTCAGAATGTGCTTTATGATCATGATGACAAAAGGGTGCCTCACATAATGCTTTTTGCTGCTGAAAACATTCCTCCACTTCATGAGTTAACTTACCATTATAATTATGTTGTCGATCAGGTGTATGATTTGGAAGGAAATATTAAGGTGAAGCGTTGCTTTTGTGGTGCTTCTGGTTGTACTGGGCGAATGTATTAGAAAGAATTGGAGTACCAAAAAACTGTAAAGGATCTTTAGTAGTGTTTTATAGGGAGTAAAATTTTTTTTTTCTTCTTATCTCTTGCGAAATCTGCGTTTACATTGAGGAGCTGAGGACTGACGCCACTGCATTGTTCCTTACCCTTCAGAACAGAACGCATTGTCATGAAGCTACTGGTAAATACTCTTTCAAATTTGAAACTCTCAACAGTTAGGATCTTCTTTCATTTTTTGTAGTATGAAAGTTGCCTGGAATTGCCGGTCGTGGAATCATATTCTTTTAGTCTCAAGATAACAGCCACAAGTTTCTGAATCATGTGAAATTGTTAGGCTCTTCTTTCATTTTTTGTAGTACGAAAGTTGGCTGGAATTGCCGGTAGTGGAATCATATTCTTTTAGTCTCGAGATAACAGCCACAAGTTTCTGAATCATGTGAAATTTTTGATTTATTTATGTGTCGAACTTCGCAAAAGAACGTTGGAAAGCTTCCCCCTTTAAAGCTAAATAGAATCAGTTATGTACTTTTCTGAGCTTGAGATCCTAGTTCGATTTTCCTAGGCCTATGAAGTTGGGTGATTTTAGCCGTGATTACCTTGGTACAGATTGATGTCTCTATGTAATGCAACTTAACTTGCACAGACCAGAGAGTATGTACACAAGTTTCGAATGTGGTTTTGAAGAAGGTTCCTTTATCCTTTTCTTTGCCACTCTCATTTCAGTGGTGGATTATAGTACTTGTGTAAGCGAGCTTTGTAACATCATTCATCATATGAGCTGAGAGTTGGATGGATGGGTTTTCCCATTGGCTTGCTTATCTACTGAGAAGAAAAAGTCCACACTCACGCGGACAATATTTCCAAAAAATATAAACACACTATGTGAGTTTTGCATTGGTTCCCATATATTAATCATAAAAGCTACAATGAGAATTAGAGAACTATGTTCATGGTTACATTTTTTTTTTTTAAATAAATTTTTGGATCGTGTCTATTTATCCAGTCATGTTATAAAAACCGATGACCAATTAATCAGTTGCACTCTAAGGAAGGTTTTACTGTCACTGAAGATTTAAGAGGGTAGACTCAGAATTGTATCAAAGAGACTAGATTAAGTCGGAATTTCCATGTCACTGAAGGTTTTACTGTCACCTCTAAATTTTCCTTCATATGTACTAGTCTATATTAAATGGTACGATGAAGCATGCTTGAAATGCCCCAATTTGAGGAGAACATGTCCTCCTTCCGGAAGCTTCTTGCTGAAGGTGTTTTGGACAACACATTCTCAGGGTTGAAGATAAATGATCTCGTCGGACCGCGTAGAGGCTTGTTTTAAGCACTTTGACAAAATCGAAGTGGACGGGAAACATCATTCGTAGTCTAATAAGTCTCCTTATACTTAATTTAACACCTATCCCATATATTATGTTAAAAAAACAATTGTTGCTAACCATTCACAGACATCCTATCCTGTCACATCTCATTTGTGGTTTCAACGTTCGCACCCAAAATTCGTGTTCTCATATACTCTCTCCGTCTTCGTCCTAAAATGATTGTCCAGTTTTAAATTTTATTTTAATACAATTTGTGATAATAATAAAAAATTCAAACTGGATAACAATTTTGAGATTTGTAATAAAACGATATCTCAAACTAGACAATCATTTGGAACAAAAAGAATTTTATGCAACTCTTATATTCCTTTAAGCAATTCTCTCCGTCAATGCGCAACTACAATATTTAAAACTTAAAGTACATAACTCATTTCTCCCTCTACAAGACAAGAGAGAGAAAGTCCTCTCTTTCTCCAAGTGAGAAGGACCTTCATTCTAACCTCAATATCCTTTATTTCCACATCTGGTTCCATAAGCCACTTGCATTTCTCCATCATTTCTTACTTCGATTTGGATAGTAGAATATTACTTGGCAGCAAGTGGTTCATATCTGCCATTTGGACAACATGCAGTTTGCCATTTTTTTAAATCTTCATTTTTGAAAATTGCATGCACTTATCAGATCTCCTCCGATTTGCTTTAATAATAAAGATTTCCTCAAGGACCTTGACATTAATATCAAGACAGTAAAGGCAGTATAAGGTACCCACCTTTTATTCTTCCTTTTTGTTTGTTTGTTGGTTCGAGACATTAATGGCCTTTTCGATCTTCATGATTCGGCTACTCAAGATCTCTTTTACCGAAAAAGTATAACACCTTTTCACATCCTTGACTGCTCAACTTCTCACCTGCTCCTTCAAGTCATTTCCAATCTCACCGTGTAGCTGATTCATCTTTATTGGGTTGTTGCTGCACTAGTCCTTTATGCTTTATCCCTTTCCTTCCTGCTTTCTTCTTCCTTTTCATCATGACTCATAGGCATGCAATGGATGAAGATTTGGTGACAGACATGTCACTGCAAGGATCCGAATTCTCTGAAGAAGAACATGAGTTTAATCCAGCCACTGAAGTTCATCCTCAATTTATCTCAACAACATATGAGAGATCTCTGCGTGTGCTGCTTAATGACTACAATACAAGTCTCTCCCGGGATAATTTCAAATTTTGTTTGATGGGCTATATCCTGGATGATAGATCCTTCACGGATGCGGACATGCAAGCTTACATGGCAGAGAACTGGCCCATGTATACCAGGATCTTGCATTATGACTGAAATTTCTTCATTATTAAGTTTGCTTCAAGGGCTGATGTCCTCATGGTCTTAGATAATGGCCCTTATGCAGTTGATGGGAGTCTTCTTATTCTTCGCAGGATGTATGATGAGGAAGATCTGGTAGTCATAATAATCCCAATGGTGATCCTGAGGCTCAAAATAGGAATCATAGAGATGACATGGCTTTTGATTCGTCACCTTCAATCCGTCTCCATAATGGGGAGTTGCTTGCAAATGGCTTTCCAGACACTACCAGATGGGCTGCTCCTGCAGCACAGGAACCTCTATCAGATGAGTCTGATTCTGCATCTTCTGGTACGTATCATTCTGTGCCTCTTGATTCTACTAATTCTATCAGTCTTGATTATGGTCTGTATAGTTCTTCGGACTCAGAGATGTCAGAGTCTTTTCAGTCTGAGAATGTTTCAGCACACTCCAACATTGGTGCTGCATTTGATGTTTTTAGTAATCTGAATTTTGAATCTGTTGGTGATGTACCTGTATCGATTTTTGATGTGATAGTGTCAGATTCTGAATCTGTAACTAGTGATAGTAGGCCTACCAATCTGCCAGCTAGTGTTACTGTATTAGAAGAGGATGTTATTTCTCAAGCCTCGGATTCTAGTTTCTTCTTAAGATCTTTAATGTACTCCTTGGCCTCGGAGGAGAATAATGGATTGCAGATTAGTGAGTCTGAGTCTGAGACGTTCTTTTACATTCCAACAACGGCCACCTCAGCAACCACCTTGTCTGTCAAGAGGAAAGGAGCATGGACGATGTCAGCTCCAGAATTGGAATTTGAGAGTGACTCAGACTCAACTGAGGAGGCTCATTCCTACCACATGAAAGTTCGGAAAGTGGTCTCAGATTCGAAGGTTGCCGTGGCATTGGTCCGGAAGAATAAGAGGAAGAAACAGAAGGCTAGAAGAAAGTCAATGGAACCATCGTACAACTCAATTTCACAGCCATCCAATTCTAATCCTCAACCACCAGTTGATCATCCTTCTCCTGGTGGACTGGCACAGGAAGGACCTTGGAGAATGACAGTTGAGGAAGAGTTCCAGGAACCTGAGGAACTGTTGTTGCATTCCAGAAAGAGGCCATTGGAATCACAGGAGAGTGGTTGGATCATTAACAAGAAGGTCAAGTATGGGATCAGAGACATGACTTGTGTATTGCAGGAGCGAGAGGAGGAGATGCTGAAGTGTCTTGCGGTGGTTGAACCAGATCAACCGCCTTCACCGAAATGAATATCCTCGCTTGGAATTGTAGCGGTATACATAGTGCCTCTACTCAGCATTATGTAGGTAGATTATATAAACATTACAAGTCTAAAATTTTGTTCTTAATGGAGACTAAAGCTGGTAGTAGTACCTTAGTAAAATGGCAACAGACCACGCCTTTTGGTCACTCTTTTGTAATTGACTCAGTAGGGTCTTCTGGTGGTCTTGCTTTGTTTTGGATGAACGATGTTCAGCTAGATATTATAATGCATGATCAGAATGTAATAGTAGCGAGGATATGCGAATCCTCAGGGCTTAGTTGGTTAGCTGTTTTCTTGTATGGCCTTCCTAGTAGGCAGGGTCGTGCAGAGTTTTGGTCTGACCTTAGCTCTAATCTAAGCTCTTTTAATTACCCTATTGTGTTATTAGGAGACTTTAATCAGGTAGTTTCATAGGAGGATAAATGTGGTGGCAGATTAGTTAGGGATCAAGACGCGGGCCCAGTGCGTCAGTTCCTAATGAGGAACAATTTGGAGGAACTTCAACATATAGGTTGTTGATACACTTGGTCCAACAACAGACAACAGGGAGAGAGGATTTATGAAAGACTGGATCGTGCCTTTGTCAACAGACAATGGTTATCTGTGTTCCCCTCGGCATCAATCAGGAATCTGCCTATTATGGTTTCGGATCATGCTCCAATTTTGGTTCAGGTTAAGCACAAGCAGAAGAAAACCAGACCTCATTTAAGGTTTGAACAATTCTGGACAAACACACTCACTTTTACAGATTTGGTTCAATCTGCTTGGCGAAATGATAATTTACAGATCACTAACCTCCAAGAGAATTGTCCTTTAAGCTAAAGTCTAGTCTTATAGGATTGTCTAATTGGAGCAAGGATACCTTTGGTAACCTTGACAAACTAGTCACAAGGTTATCGGATCAGCTGGCAATATTACAATCTCATTGGGAGGAGCACACTGATGATGATACATCATTTTATCTCCTTTCACAGAAGAAAGAAGAATTAGAGCAAGCACTCCAGTATCAACGGGATTACTGGCATCAACGCTCTAAACTGACCTGGCTAATACAAGGAGACAAGAACACAAAATACTTTCACAAATGGGCTTCCAGGAAAAAAAGAAATAACTGGATCACTGAACTTCAGTCTAGTGAAGGTCAGTGGTTATATGATTCAACATAGATATCAGAAGTCCTTTTGAATCACTTCAAGGATCTTTATGATGTGCAACCATCGGGCTCTTTTGGATCCTCAGTCCCATGAACTCAAATAATCCCTGATCCCTTAAGCTCCCCGTTTTTCTATCAATTCCTGAACAACATGCAGGAAGGTATCACTCTAGACCAAAGAACAGCTCTGGAAAATTCATTTTCCTCCCAAGAGATTTGGCGGGCTCTAAAACAAATGTCATCGTGGAAATCACCAGGCCTAGATAGTATGCCTGCTGGATTTTATAAAACATACAAGCATATTATAGGCTCAGACTTGGAGACCTCCATTTTGGAAGCAGTCGAAAACCAGCATTTCCCACATGAGTGGAATCAGACTAATATTGTCCTTATTCCCAAGCTACCTAATCTAGTCAACTTAGGGGATTTTAGACCAATAAGTCTCTGCAATGTGAAGTATAAGATTCTCTCTAAGATGATTGCTAACAGACTCAAGCAGGTTATGCCGGAACTCATTGATGAACACCAGAATGGATTTGTTCCAGGGCGAAATATCAGTGAGAATATTTCACTTGCACATGAAGTCATAGAATACATTCGGAAAAAGGAGGGTGATGTAGGAGTTGCAGCAGTCAAATTAGATATGAGCAAGGCCTATGATAGGATATCATTGCCTTTTCTGAAAACGGTACTCATAAAGGTTGGTATCCCACAAAGACTCATAAGTCTAATCATGCACTGTGTGACAACGGTGACATACTCCATCAAGTACAATGGTGAACATTTGCCTTATTTTGTTCCCACAAGGGGTCTCAGACAGGGATGTCCTTTGTCCCCTTATCTATTTATTTTATGCCA